TCTCTCTCAATTTCCCACGGCTCCCCTTTCACAGAAGAAACTATAAGGTCACGGCAAGGGCACATGAGGCTGCTGAGCTAGGGGGCCAAACATCGTGAACTATTATCACCTTCGTGTGATTTTTCAGGCCTTTGTTTCTTTCAGCCATTTATCAGTGCTCTTCTAGGGTTCAGTTTGAAAGACAGCTTCTTTGAGCACGGGCTTCAAACAGCGTTAGTGAAACTTTGTGAAAAGTACAGAAAAATTAAAGGTAAATGTTAACTCTAGATATGCCCTGACCAAATTTGCCAAGAGAAGACTATCAAGACTGCAACTTTAAGCTTCATCTACCAATAGGACAATATCCCTGAAATTATCTGACAAAATAAAGTAGCTTCCAAGTAGGGATATATGCATCTTTGACCGCTATAGCACACACACAAGGAAAGGAAGAAAGGCAGACAAAAAGCATGCTGAATGTGGTTATGACGAGGAGAGAGGATGGCCTTCCAATAAGCCATTAAAAAGTGGAACACCAGGAAAACATCAGTCATCACTATGCAGGCAAGAAACAGAAACCACATAAATGTGAAAACAGTGTCAGAGTCCACTAACAGTAGACCCAAAATACTATGGTCAAGCAGATGGAAAAAAATGCAGATGTTTAACAAACCAAGACATTACAAAATTATCAGTCTGTTGATAAAATTTTTTTCTATTTGGCCAAGCAAATAATACTGGATGATGTATTCAGACCCCTCCAAATTGGCATCTTCTCCATCTCTGAAGTCACGCTGTGAAGACAAGGGTCTAAGGGCTGGGACACCACACAGCCACTGCCTCAAGATAAAAATACCACAGGATGTTTAGCTTAGGTATCTGCTGCCAGTTCCAGTCTGATGGAGAAACAGTACCTCAAAGAGCTGGGGACAAAACTGCAAGTTGTCTCTCATGGTAGAGTGTGACTAGGTTAAGGGACTAACAAACCAAAAGCACATCACTCAAGTCTTGACCTCAGACTTTCAAGATGTCGCTAATGGGATCTAGAAAGGGGAGTGTGCGAAACATTCTCTTTACTACATCCACAGTTACACTCTGAATCGGAAGGATTTCTCAGTAAAATCTAGACTGATAGCATCCCCTTATTACAATCAGAAGACCAGACTGTCAGGCATGTTTGGATTCTTGCTCTTTCAAGAGTTCAGATTTTGCATGCCGAGACGGTGTAAAATCCTTGATTTCCAGGGCACTAATGTGCAATCTCTCTCTTTTTTCTTTGTATTTAGAGCTTGATGAATCATCAAGCTCAAAGTTTAGAAAGCAGTCAAGGTCATCTTGGTGAAATGTCCAGATTATCCTGCAAGAACACCATGACCAGGTCTCACAGCTTGTTGATGCTTGACAGACTTGGGAGTGACAACTGCAGAAAATTCTCTATGTAGCTCTGGGTGGTGAAGACAGTTACTGTGAAAGTTTCTAGAATATCCTGCCTAGGATATTCTGTTCTAGGATATCCAGCCACACCACTGGTAGGGACTGGATTTGGCAAATTTTGACTTGAATTCCAGTTCTTGACATATAGCTTCAAGGCTGATTCTGAAGTCTTACAGAGATTTGACAGTAGCAGGGACATTTGGTGAGCTGACCACCCTGATACAGAGATTAAAACAGATTTGTCATTTTGTGGACAAAAAGATCTTTTGTGAAGATCTGACAAATGGAAGCCTAGACAAGGAAGCACTGATGACCTAAAATGAAGGATCTGCCTCTGGTGTTAGAGATAATAGTGGATTATTTCCAGATCCAAAATCTGCTTGCCGTCAATTTATCAGTGAGTTTTCTGAGGGGGGAAGAAATCTTTATATTTTTCCTTAATCATAAAAGGATTTGGATTCCTGAGGACCCACCTCTAGACTTATTTTGGACTAGAAATAATGTGTAAACCTTTGTTTAATCCAACTGAAAGTCTCTACTGCTCACATGGACAAGAAATCATGAGTCTCTGTATTATCTACTTCATTCCCAGAGTCTAGAACTCGATGTCAGCTGTGATCGTCCCAGACACGTGTCCAGTTTCCTTTGGGGGAGGGAGCATCGTGCATGGCTGCACTGCAGACTGTTAACGGGGCACTAATTCTTGTACCCGTGGCGTTCTGGAGAGTCTCCCCTCTTTCTGTATCTATAGGGGTGGTTTCGAGGTTTGTACCAGTCCCCTCTGGAATATCCTCGATTGTGGTAATGTGCTTTCTGGTCATGACTATAGAAGTATCGATGCTGGTTATAATATTTACTGTGGTCTTTATAGTCATTTTCTTTCACATTGTTTTCTTCTGCAACAACAGCATTCACATCTTGTCCAAAGAGGCAAGTGCCATCAAAGGGCAAGTGTGAGATCTTCTCCTGGGTCTTCTTTGTGAGGGATGTGAGCCGAAGCCAAGCCTGCCTCCTGTAGTCTACTGCCATCGCCATAACTCTGACCACAGAGTCCATTATGTCCCTGGTAGTACACAGCTGCCAAAGGCCTGCATCCATGCCATCAGATATGATACATCGTGCCTTTCCACGATCAAACTCAGGGTCATGGACCAGGTCCTCCATGTCTTCCCAGAGTTTACGCTGATACTGCGTCATGTAGGCCATGTAGCTGGCAGCTCGGGCTGCGATGGAAGCAGCGTGGTAGAACCTGCAGCCCATGGCCTCCATCTCCTTTGAGGTGGGGTCCAGGGGCAAAGTGGCGCCTCCTCTTCTGCTGTGCTCTAGTGCTGCGACGATGGGGCCCCCCGCTGGGGGATGTGGCTGGAAAGGAGAGGTGTCCTTAGCCACAGGATACACCCTGTGTCCCATGAAAGAAGAAGGGTGGCAATCAGCAGGGTCTTTAAAAACCTCCGCAGTGGCAATTCTCAGAAGAGGATGCAATGGAGGGACCAAGCGCTTCTTGGAGGTCACACAATCAGGCTTCCCCTCGCACAGTTCTGCTTCTGACTGCAAGGTGACTCTCTTGATAACACCTCTCTGCTCCATTCTTTTCAACAGCCCTGTGAAGCTGGACTGACTGGGGTCAGCTGGCTGCCCTTTGTCATCGGCCGAGGGGGACTTGCACTCAGCCTCTTCTTCGACTGCGGATAAGTGTTCTTCTCTGGAGGTAGAGATGTCCCAAGGAACCGAGGAGGCCTCACCTGTCCGGGAATGATGAAATCGAAAGCAGCTCCTGGACTGCAGGTCACGTATCACTCGAGACATCTCAGCCACCTGTGTCTGGAGATAGAGGAGGGCATCCCGCCCGTGCTGGGAAGCTGGAGACTCTATGGGCAAACCCTCCTTGACCTCTGAGGAGGCCAAGGACTCTTGGGGGACCAGGAGTGGAGATGGAGGCAGAATCTGGTAATTCTGTGACGGCTCAAGTGTCTCTGTCTCAGAGATCTTAATACCTGAATTACTGTGATCATTTCTCTGGGTCTCCAATGGGTTCTCAACAGAAGAAGGGTGAGAAACCATCCTTTGAGGACTGCTGGCGCAGCGCCCAGAGGAGGAACTGCTGTCTCCACTGGGAGGAGGAGCACTGCAGCCAGAGCACATTTCTGGGCGACGACTCTCTGAGGATGGCACCTTAGACTCAGGCATTCTCTGGGTTATCCACGTGAACAAGAGAACCAAGGAAGAAAGAAAATATGCTTTTAATATGTTAACTTTCAAGTGCAGAGATGCATGTCCAGTAAGTAGAACTCAACTTTTTAAATTATTATAATTAACAATGAAACATACAATTCACTTCAGGTCAGCAAGGGGATCACAGAAGTCAAATCTACAAGTTTCATTACCCCAAAGGCCCAATACCAACTACTGGCATAAACCTGGCACTCTGTCTATGAAAAAAGAGCAAAAACAAGCCCAGTTCAAGGGGCGCCATCCTAGCCTGCTGCTTATTTCCATGTTAGAATAAAAGCTAATAGGACTACTGATGAAAATAGTTTTTTTAAAAGTCCCACTGAACAAGTGTAGGGCAACAAGCAGAAGTTAATAATGGCAGAGAGAACATGGGAAAGTTCCACTGAAAAGTCCCCCACTGCAGAGACACTTTGAGGTCCCTTTAAAAATTCTCATTCACTGACCATAAGTAATGAAATTTTCCAGGTGGGCAGTTCTCTACAGTTTGTAGTTTTCAGGAGTTTTGTAACCTTGTTGCATCCTCACAACAACCCTGTGAGGTAGGTTATTATTCTTATGTGATAGAGAAACTAAAGTTAAAAGGCTACTGATCCAAATTCACAGAATAGTAAGGAGCTAATTGGGAACTAAAACCTAGGTATTTTGATTGTGAGTCCAAGTCCCAATCCCTTATATATCATAGGCCACCCTGAACACACAGCCAGGAGTCCTCTAATCCATCAAGAAAACAGTTCAGTAATAGAAATTCGGGCTAAGACAAATGCAAGACAAGACTGATACAGATAGCTCAGTTACTTTGGTTCTCAGAGTAAGGGAAGGATTAGTTTAAGGGTCAAACACACAACCAAAAAAACCACAGTTCAGAGAAAACCCCAAATATGAGGGGGAGAGGCGATTAAAGGGACAATGCCTGAGTGACCCAGCAGCCTTCCCCACTCTCCATTTCTAAAGGAGCTTCTCACAGCCTTTCTTCCAAACAGAATAAATTTTCTGTGGCCACGTGGTTCTGGAAGAAAAGGATTCAGTTCTATAGGGCACCTGAGGAAAGCCAGGAAAGGAAAAGGGTGCCCAAAAACTTGCAGTTTTATTCCATTTCCCTTTCATCAGATACCACCTTCAAGGCTTAGGACCTTCCTGTGTCATGTAATACTCTCACATCTCTCTCAAAGTAGAGGAAGAAAGCTGGAAGCAGACCTTCCAGGCTAAGTTCTCCCTGGACTGCCTCTCAGGGCTATTCCAACAGAAGTGGGCCGTCTCCTAAAGCACCATAGCGCCTGAACACTGACCTGACGACCCCCTTTACAGGACGTCTGTGAACTGCGAAAAGTACAGAAACACAAGTCAAACGTACTCACCTCACGTTGAGAGGTGCTAGGCTCGTCATCATCACTACTGACCAGGTCGATGTATTCCAGAACAGGCCTCAGTGGTCCTTCCTAAAAGAGAACCAACAAATTAACAAATCATGCAGAGCTACTCAAGCTAAATCAGCATTTAAGGCAATGCTTTTTGTTGATGTTGGGACTGACTGGTGAGAACCCTTCTGAAGAGGAAACGTTATGTGTGGTACAAAATAATCAGAACAAATGCAGAGGAAAATCCTCAGAGTCCATGACTACTAAATGTAAAACCTGAAAGAGCCCAAGCCAGGAAGGGTACTGGGACTGTGCTGACTCCTTGCGGAGAGGATTAGTAACACGGGAACGGTGCTGCAAGGGCACAGATACTAAGCCAATGCTTTTCAGATGAGATGGGGATCTTTGACTAGAAGCTGGGCTGTATCTCAGACTCCTGCAGTCACACATCAAACCTGGTTCTCCTTCATCTTTTCTTTCCACTCTGACTCTACCATAGACCAAGTCTTGAATACTAAACTTCAAAAGCCTAGATCTTATTCTATAGGCAAAAGGCAATCAATAAGTACTAAGACAGGAATAACATCAATCAACAGAGAAATATGGCAGCAAGAAAAGCAGGAGCAGGATAATTTATCAGTCCACAACATAATAATGCAAAACTAAATAGCAGACATGGCAAAAATAATGGAAGGGCTTTTTTGTGGCTCAGACAGTAAAGGATCTGCCCACAATGCAGGAGACCCAGGTTCAATCCCTGGGTCAGGAAGAACCCTTGGAGAAGGAAATGGCAATCCCACTCCAGTATTCTTGTCTAGAGAACTGCATGGACAGAGGGGCCTGGCAGGCTACAGTCCATGGGCTCGCAAGAGTTGGACAGGACTAAGCGACTACACTTTCACTTTCATGGTGCAGATACAAAGGAGATGGAGACAAACATCAACAAATGGTCAACTATGAAAACAGAAGTCAGAGCTGTCTCTAAGATTTCAAGCTTGGATGACTAAACAACAGTCACATAAAAGGAACAAATCTGGAATATGGAGATGGAAGGCTGGCATTCTTTTGGCCATAATGGGCTGATGTACAACTGGCAGACAGAGGCAACTGGCAGACAGCTGGAAATGCAGGCCAGTAATCTGGGTAGAGGAACATAACTGAAAATGCAGACTTGAAAGCTGCTCCCCTAGAAAATTATTAACTCTAGAACTACACTGGAACTATGATATTACCAATGAGAGCAAAGAGGACAAAGAAGAAATTCGAGGAGGTTCTTGAGGAAAAGATGGAATTTTAAGATTTAAGAAGAGCTAAGTAAGTAATCAGAGATCTAGGAAGAATCAGGAATGCACAAATCCAAAGAACCTAGAGAAAACCTCAATGAAAAGGTATCAATGCAAATGTGGCCAAAAACACTGAGCACCAAAAAAAGGAAAAAAAGCCACAGATTTTAGAAACAAGATTTTAAAATGTCTTTGAGAGCAACTTTCAAGAAAGTAGTGAGCATACAAGTCAGACTACAACAATAAGCAGAAAATGAGGAGCAAAGGCCCAGAGTGATTATTCTGTCAAACATTCTGTTGGAAAAGAGAAAGGCATTCAGGGGAGAGTGGGGCTGGGGAAAGACTCCTCAGGCTCGGGGAGGCAGCTGCTGGGAAGCCCAAGTGAGGTGTCCAGTGGGAAACTAACAGAAAAAGACCTGGGGTCAGGAGACAGAGGATAACATCTAGGTAAAGATCCTCTCTCTGAGACACGGTATCCTACAGACAGCTTGCTTCTCTCCCAGGCATCCATCCCTCCCCAAGCAGGAGAGTGCTTTCCCTGCAGGGGGGTAAAAGTGAAAGTGAAAAGTCGCTCAGTCATGTCCAATCTTTGCAACCCCATGCACTATACAGTCCATGGAATTCTCCAGGCCAGAACACTGGAGTGGGTAGCCTTTCCCTTCTCCAGGAGATCTTCCCAACCCAGGGATCGAACCCAGATCTCCTGCATAGCAGGCGGATTCTTTACCAGCTGAGCCACAAGGGAAGCCCACAGAGGGGTGATTCAGCCGCTAAGATAAAACCAGACAGCAAAATTGGGCAGGGGTCACATGATAAAGTAATCAGGATCTCTGCCTAAACTGTAAAAATGGACATTTAAAAAAAGACGGTAAGAAGAATGTTCTCCTCTGTGGCATCACAGAAGTGAATCACCTACTTTAAGACCCAAACCTGCCACTTGTTGTAAGACTGTCAAAGTCATACAGTCAAGCCAAGAAGGTAGTGGAGGAGAAAAACTCTAATAGCTTGCTCTCCTCAAGAAATGTATATTAGCAACTTTATTACATGCCCACTGGGACAGCACACCAAGGAAGTCCCTGAGCTACCAGAAGCCAGGAACAGAGGCTGGGGCAGAGCTTCCACGGAGGGAGAGCAGGCAGAGAAAACAGGGCGAAGACAGGTAACAGGGCACAAAGCACCAAGGGACAGGCAGAAAACACCACCATCGGGAAAACGGTCACAAACGATGAAAAAGCAGCTGCAGAAACAGAAGAAAAGGCAGGAATAAGGAGAGATGAGAGCAGCAGCAATGTCCCCCTGGGGTCAGCCACAACACTGACACAAGCCCGCTCCTGACCTACTCAGCGACAATGACTTAGGATTCCCAGCAGAATAGAACAATCAGGACGGGCCCAAAAATGAGAAAAAGCAGGGGTCATTTATTCAATCACTCAGAGTGTCACAGAGTTATAAGTGACAGAAGGGTAGAAGAAGACAGCATGTGTTTGAGACCCCAAAAGGCAGAGGCTGAGTGGAAGAAACAGAAGACAACCATCCCAAGGAAAATACTACTTACAGACACTCTACACTCCAGCTAATTTTTACAGTGGATATGGACAAGCTTCCACCATAATGAACCTAAGGAATCAAAACCCTTTGGCACTGCATTTATTTCACTCTAATTGGAACATCTGTCACTGAGCCCCATACAGGCAATGGTGTTAAACTTTTCACGTATACTGTTCCATTCAACCCCCCATTACTTGACTTTTACACCATGTAACGAAGGAGAAAACTAAGTGAGGCCCACCTGGTTCTGTTATCACAACGCTGGCTGTGTGGTCACATTAATTCTGAGCCAGTCCGAAGTACACACACTACTTTTATTTACTTATTTAGTTAGTTAGTTCTACCAGTTTATTGCTACCAACCCATCTCCCTCCAGCCTCGTGCACACATGCTCAGTCATGTAATCCCATGGACTTCAGCCCGCCAGACTCCTCTGTCCATGGATTTTTCCAGGCAAGAATACTGGAGTGGGTTACCATTTCCTTCTCCATACACACTACTTTTAAATCAATACTTATTTCCTAAGTTTCTAAGATAAGCTGATTTTTCCTTTAATATGAGGAAAAAGACTACCTGCTCTTGTTCCCAACTGTGAATAACTTATAAAACTGACCAAAACATAAGTTATTAATTCTCCCCAAACAGTAATGTTTATAATACAAATATTAAGAAAAGGTAATTTCTTATTATGTTTACAATGGCTGCTTATGTCAAAAAGTACAAACACATGTGGTTCTCCAATCACAAGGTATTTTTTTTCTTAAATTTGTTCCATCTATCAACTCTTTCCCTCCATATCAGTAACAAAGTCAAAGAATTCTATTCCAAGGCCAAACAATTTAGGGGCAGGATCACAGGCAGAAGCAAAACAGTTGAGGAACACGGTTTAAAAAATATTTTTAAAGAAATAAAAAGCTTTCATCTTTAATTTGTTTTCTATTTCTTTAATCTCGTACCTGTATGAGATGATGTTGCTGTTTAGTCGCTAAGTCCTGTCCAACTTTTTTGCAACCCCCTGACTGTAGCCCACCAGACTCTTCTGTCCATGGGATTTCCCAGGCGAGAATCCTGGAGTGGGTTGCCATTTCCTTCTCCAACAAAGCTGTCATCTTGTTATTAGAAAACTCATCTCATACAAAACCAAAATACCAATTACCTACTGACTGAAAAGTGACATCAATACACTAAAATACAGTCTGCAGAAAAGGTAGGTAGTCTACTTCAGTCTAAAACAAACAACATGAATTTAAGCACAGATGCAAAAATCTAATCTGAAACCCTAAATAATTCATACATCTTCCCTCACACAGAAAAGTTCCAGACATAATGAACTTCTACAAGTCCTGCCTGATTCAAACATTTCAAATGATTCCCGAATGTGTAGTTTAATTCAAATTTAGTCCACAATTCAAAATCTATACTATCTGTCCCAACTATCCTCCTCCCATTTAAAAAAAAAAAAACAAAAACTTATCCTCCAGAACTAAGCACAATTGTTTTCTCATTTTGATGACTTGCTTCTTCTCAAAATACCCTTTTAAACACATACAAACACGAAATGTCCCTGTGCAAAAGTAATAAACTGAAAATCATGTCTTTTTTAATAGCACATGTACTTTTTTTTGCACCATGTACTTTTTATAAAAGAACTCTCTCCTACAACTATCTACAAAGTCCTCCTTCCTATCTCATCTCTCACACTGAAACACTGACACTTATGAGTAGGATTTATTTCCAGCTAATCTCTGCAGCTCTAAAGTACTTCATTCAGGACTTGATATATTATGAGCTCCAAGATTTCTTGAGCTAGTTACAACCCCAAGACACCCAGCCAAAAATCACCCTCATTATTTGTCCAAGACCCCTTGAAATAATTTATGAAAATATACCTGGATTTTCTTCCCTATTTCCACATGGTCAATGATTCCACATTACACTAATCATCTTGGCTGAAGCCTAAACCTCACGTGCTGTTACCAACATTATAACAGGCTGCCTCAGCAATTCTGATACCTTCGTATCTAAAGTATATCTTTTATCTGTGAAAGATCATGTCATTAGCCCTAAATTAACACAGTTCTCTGGGAATAAATTAACATATCTGCAGTTTCAAAGGATGCAGAGAATAAAGATAATGGCTGAAAAGGGGAAATATCACTAAATTAGAGAGAAAATTAGAGCAAAAAACTTAAATGAAAAGTGTGTATCGTAACATCTGAGCTTCCCTCATAGCTCAGTTGGTAAAAAATCCGCCTGTAATGCAGGAGACTGGGGTTCGATCCCTGGGTTGGGAAGATCCCCCGGAGAAGGAAATGGCAACTCACTCCGGTAGTCCTGCCTAGAGAATCCCACAGACAGAGGAGCCTGGCAGGCTACAGTCAATGGGGTCGCAAGGGTCGGACATGACTTAGCGACTAAACTACCACCTTATGATAACATTCTGTCTCCAGAGTTAAGTGCTGTTTACACAGGTGTGCTGGCTCTGAAAAAATCAGAGGTACAGTTACGAACTGTGCAATTCTCTGTATGTGTATTTCAATAAAATTTAAATGAAAGGGCTCATTTTTGCACCTCCACATCTATAGCATTCCTTTCCTTCAGCCTGCTAAGTTTAGTTTTAAACTCTGCACTTTCCAAACCACACAAAGACTACTGTGCCACTAGGCGGATACACACGTATTAAAGATGGGAGAGTTAGACAAAGAATGAACTAATAAATCTAAACCACAGTAAATCAAGAAGAAACATCACAGTGTGCTTTTTGTATCTGAAAAAATCTTAAGCACAGAACTAGTCATTATCTTTATTGAACAAGCAATACCCAGTGCTGTCATATATAAGACTGGGTTACAGAGTGAAGTAAAAGATTCTGTTTCTAACGTGTTTTTATTGTCACTGAAGTTTTATCACCAAAAAGGCAGAAGGAATGTTTGTAATAGGTTTCTTCTGGTACTGTAATTGCATTAACACATAAAGGTCACTTATGTATTTGGAACTAGCAAATCTTTGAACTTATATTTGGAAAGAGAGATGAATACAAGATATACCAAGTTGAACACAATTATATTGGTTGTGTATTTTCTATTCTGGATACAAAGATAAAACAGATCCTCTACATTTAAAGTAATATTTAAAAGAATATTCAACTTCAGATTAACACTAGCTTATATTAGGTTCTGATGAGCTACAATTCTCCATTCGACAGAATACATACATATATATATATACACACACACACACACACACATATATAAATCTTATTTTTGTAGAGTCCATCTGTGACTCTCAAAGTAAGCTCTGCAGTTCATGAAGAAGTGTGTCCCTCTTTAATTTCCACAAAATACTAAAGTAAATATTCTCCATTCATATATTTTGCCATATTCAGGGAGAACCTGAAACATTTATCCTAAAGAGCCAATCATACTTCAGAGTTCAGTTTCTTCTACCAACATCCCCCAAAACTTTATAAATTTAAAATGAAAACGACACCATACCACATGGATGGGCAAAGGCAAAAAAAGCCAAGAAATGACCCTGTGAAAGACTCCTAAACAGACCCACTGAAACACAACACAACAGATTATCACAATGGTCTAATGTTGGGGTACATAGAGGACACTGTTTAATAACCAATCTTTCAAAACTAAAACTGCCCAAGAACCAAAAAACACAAATACACATCCGACAGGGAATTAAAGAAAGATTGCGTGCATGCATGCTTAGTCGCTTCAGTCATGTCCAACTCTCTGCAACCCTATGGCCCATGGCCTGCCAGGCTCCTCTGTCCATGGGATTCTCCAGGCAAGAACACTGGAGTGGGCTGCCATTTCCTTCTCCAAAAGAAAGATTATACACCTTCAATAACAAAACTTCAACTAACAGCAGAATTCAAAAAGAATCCTTTACAGTACAATTCTCCAGCTAACAGATAATAAAAATACTACTTTAAGCATAATCTTTATAAAACTTTAACAGTTTGAAGTGGAAATTATCCCCAAATACATCACAGCACCTCCTTTGGTTACTGCAACTAATGTTTTACTAACTGTGTTCACAGCTTCCTACACCCCTGAACCAACATTAAGGTACCCAAGCCCCACCTACAAATCCTGATTCCATAGGTCTGGAGTGGGGAGCAGGATTCTGCACACTTCCACTCACTCATGCTTGAAAACAGTCAGAAGGGAACAAACACAGAAAGATAACAGGATGCTCCTGTGATGCAGGCCCCTCACTGTGAACCTGACCTGCGGGACTGTGATGCAGCAGGGTGAGCTCAGAGCTCAGTGAGGTCTTCAGGGCACCTGCCCCCACCCTACAGAGACACACAGGCTCTGATGCTGACCTCCGGCAGCCCGCCTCCTTCTCTTCTACCTCCTTCCTCATCACTAGCTGCCCCTTCTCCCCAACCTGGGGGCCAACTTTCAGAAGTTACTCTGGTCTCAATTCAAACACAGTCTTAGGAGAACCCTGCGCACACCAGCGGGTCCACGGGCAAAGGAGAGGGGAAGGTGTGATCCAGGCTCCAACAGGCCAAAGGCCACAGTCTCTGCGATGGCTGCGGGGGCGGCCGAGATCTCTCTGTGGGCAAACGCTCTACTCCTGTGCCTGCTCCACGGTGTCCGGTCTCACACCCACTCCTGTGTCCTGCTCCTCAGTCTCCAGTCGGTGTGAGACGTCCACACGTTTGCCGGACGATGAGGGAACAGGCGAGGGGTAATCACATCGCGGCTCGTCACGCACAAACCCTGACTCGGAAAACCCCAAATACCGCTGCTACTTACACTCACAAATTGGATGTCATCTTCGTTTTCCTCCACGGTTGACTCGGACGCCTCAGGCCCAGCTGGAGGGACACATTCTAGAATCTATAAAACAAGCCAAAACACGGTTATCCCGACAGCCACGGCTCGCAGGAGGCGAGTTTCCCAAAGGCAATGAAAAGGCAGAGCTCTCGAGGAGACCGCCCGGAGCCCCCGCCCCCGCGACCCGCCGGAAAACAGCGCGGGCGCTGGGGACCGCAGGCCCCCGCCGGCCCCTTCTCCCGAGGAAGGAAGCCTGCCGCGGGGGCGACGGGCCTCGGAACCCGCGCCGCGCCCGGGCCCAGCCGCCGCCCCGGGGCCGGGCCGGACGGCCATTGTTGCCCCCGGCCCACGCCCCCTGGCCCCCAAGCTCCGGACCCCGGGTCATCGGCCCCCAGGCCGAGTCCGCACCCTCTCAGGCCGAGTCCGCACCCTCTGAGTCCGTAGCACGCCCGGCCCAGCCCGCCACTCACCTCAGACCCTGGGTCTCCCATCTCCGCGACCGCCCGCCTGCCGGCACTCGCGCTGCGGTCGCCGCGCCCGCCTCCCCCGCCCGGCCGGCTGTCAGCCCCACGCCGCCGTGACCCGTCCCCGCGTGACCGTTGAGTCGCCGACTATGCCGCCGAGCCGCCGACGCCGCGAGCGTAAAAGGATGCACGCCGCTTCCCGGGAAGAGCAGCCCGCTAGGCCCGCAGCACCCAGCCTCCCTCGCGCCGCCCTGGCTTCCCGCCCCCGGCGCAAAGACCGCTGGGAACTGTAGTTCGGGCCAACGCCCTCGCCGCAAGGGCTGCTGGGAACTGTAGTTCCGCCCACACCAAAATCTCCCCTCCCCGGAAGAGGTAGTGGAACTGCGCGGGGAAAGGACCCTAAAGCTTGGAGGGGAAAAGACCCCTCCTGCGCTTGAGGCTGACGTCACTGCCGCTCGCCGGGCGGAGGACTGGCTGCGTCCTGTTTCACAGGGAAGGGAGGGGACGAGGATGGAGGGGAGGGCCTAGGCGTGGGTTCTGTGTGGTTGTGGGAGCGAAGCTCACTGATAAGCGTTAACCGTCAAGGCTGAGTGTTAATGCACCCCTAATTTATCACTGCTTTCTTCTTCGACGGGTCGGAAATCTGGTTGTTTAGCTGAAGACTAAGATCAGAATAGAAGTCTGAGACAGCCTTACCCTGCTCACCTGTTCGCCATGTCAGCCGCCACTCAGAGCCTGTATTGACGCGGCTGAGGAGGAAGTCTCGGGTTGACCTGAAGAAAACTGGCAAGGCTGAAGAACCCCGACCCCGTACGTCTGGGAGCCGAGGTCCGGCCAACTGTATTTTGGGCCCTAGACCAGTGATACTATATTGAATTATAAAGATGTTCTCAGGTAGTATGTTAGTGAAATAGAATAGTTGACTGTTTTCCAGTGTTCACACTCAAAAAACCTCTAAAATAGTCCACTTATGTTCAGATATGTGTTCTCATTTTCTTCACTTACTGCCTTAGCAAAGAGACCCACTCGAAGGTTTTGAAAAGAATTTAAGTCGGAAAATTCTTTTAAAACTTAGACGCCTTTGTTGCCGTCTGCATGCATGCCCAACATCTGATTACCTATTACTGGCAGTAATTATCGCTTAAATCTGTACTTCCCGCATTTCCACCATGACTTTATGACTTCAGTTGCTTTTATACTTCATAAGTTTGAGAATTTGTAGAGGCAAATTGAAAATGAGAGACCTGCTTGTTGTGTTTCTCAAAAGTTGTATGTGAAGTATTTCTAAAATTTTTAACTGTCTACACAAAATTTTTATTTAGAATTCTTCTAACGTGCTTCGGAGAATTCGGTGGAAAATTTACTTTAACTGTTTGTAGGTAGGAGTTAATGGGTAAATTTTAGAAAACAAGAGCCCAAGTATGAGCATAACTCTTCAATCCTTTTCATTGCAAGGATTTATCCTGAGGACATAATTTAATCTGTAGAAAAATTGTCATGCAAAATTTATTTATCACAAATTTGTAATAGAAATCAGAAAACATCTAAATGTCTAATGACTGGGAATGGAATGATTAAACTTTGGCATGTACTTGGCTCAGAAGTTAAAGAACCTGCCTGCAATGCAGGATACCTGGGTTCCATCCCTGAGTTCTGAAGATCCCCAGGAGAAGGGAATGGCTACCCACTCTAGTATTCTTGTTTGGAGAATTCCATGGATAGAAGAGCCTAGCTGGCTAAGTCCTTGAGGTCACAAAGAGTCTGACAAGAGGAACCGAGCCACGAACAGTTTCACTTTCACCAACATAAGAATGGGACAGGCTGGGAGCCTTTGTTGCAGTGCTGCAGTGCTTGCAGCTGGACATGCTTCTCTTCCAGCAACAGAATACAGAGAAACTAAATGGGACTAAAAATAACTGCATGCAAGCACAGGTAGGGCAAATTCTGAACAAAAGAGACCAAGAAATTCAACTGTTACTTCTGAAGAGCCCAGAGCAAAAGCAGGGTACTGTACATGTCCCCTACACACAGCACCACTTGGGTGAGCAAACCACCTAAGCCACCCCCCCCAGCCTGACCTCTGGACTCACCCCTACCCTTGAAATTGTACAAACCCCTGTGTCCTTGTCTTTTGAAACAAAATGCTGACTCAAGAGTTAGTGATTGGGAAATGTGAAGATGTAGAAACAAAGAATAGCTGTTGGGCTGATGAACTGGTAACAATTTAGACTATAATTCTGCCACATAGCAGAATTTCCGAACTCCCAGTTCCCGAAGGATATAAAGACCTGACACATATTCCTAAATTGTTTTTACAGGAAGCAGACCTCCCCCCACCCTGCACCCCCACCCCCAGTAAAAACTGCTGACCACAAGAACATAGATCTTAAACTGGCTGAAACAAATTGGAGATGCTTGAAACTTCACCTTGGTGCCTACCAATCCAAGAACTGTCCTTGAGCTGATCACTTCCTTCTCCTTAAACACTGAAACTCCTCACTACCTCTCCCTGGGTCGAGTGGGGGGAGGGTGGTTCAACACAGTCTTGAGGGCCTTAGTGCACTGTGGCCCCTTTTGCCTGGCAAAGCAATAGAAGCTACCCTTTTTTACTGCACCCAAAACTGTCTCTGTTTCTCTTTGGCATCAGTGAACAGAGGCTGAGTTCTGGCAATGGAATTCTGGGGACTCGTCTGGGATTGACTGGTGGGCAGGTGGCCCTGTGGGGCTCCTAAGCTTGATTGGGCTGGGTTTTTCTCCAAGCCAGCCTCCTGGGCCGGGGACAGAGGGTGGTTGGGAGACTCCTCTGGAGGCCAAATGGCCAGGCATTCCCCCACCACAGGGCCATGTCCCAGTCACGTCCAGACTGCTGTTTTGGTAGCTGGTGTATGGGGCAGGGATGGAAGATATGAGAGAGGCTTCCCTAGCAGCTGCCAAAGTCACCTTTGCCTTGAGGACATCCCCCTCTCCTGCCCACAACAATCCTGACTTCCTGCTGAGAAAATATTCTGAGGAAGGAGAAAAGTAGCATTTTGGATATCATGACACCTCTGCCAGCACTTTGGTAAGTCCTCTGGCATACACTCTGAGGCCACTTGATCTTGTCTGTTTGGTGAACCTTATGTTCTCTTTGGATGATTTTCTTCATCCTGTTTGTAAGGCGCCACTTCTACTAAGGCCACAGGTTTAGGGGTACTTGGAAGCCAATTTGAGCCTTGGGCTATTTGAGTGTTTTGCTTTTTCTTTTTTCTTTTTTTTTGTTTTGTGGCTTCTGTTTGGCTGGCAAGGATTTTGTTTCCTTTGGTTTTGCCAGTGAGTGTATATTAATAATTTGACTCAACATGGGAAGTGCTTCTTGAATTTCATCTGACCCTAGGAAATTTTTGCAGACTGGTCAACCAATAATTATAAACTTATAAATAAGGGAAAAAAATAATTCAACATCATGTGGTCACAATATTCTTTAGGCTACAGATGAAATTTTTGAAATTCCAAAACTTGTTCTTTTTCCATGTGCAGTTAGAGAAAACTAGCTTGATAAAATACTTTTTTTCAGAACATTGACTCTCAGAGAATAAAAATATTCTCAGAAGAAAACCTGAAGTTAACTCTTATCACATCCTTGAAGTATAAACACAGCCCAATTTTCCTGGGACTTCAGCCTTGGGATACTTAGTAGAACTTTCAAGCCAAGGGGGAAAAAAGTAAGGGGGAGAAAAAGATTTTAAATCAAACATGTAAACTTGACTATTCTGTTATTCATAAACTAATACATTTAATTGCAATGCCTGATATACAAAACAAAAAAAATGAAATGAGATCTCTATTTGTCTGTATATATGTATCTCTTATGTTTCTTTGTCTTTGGATAATATTGCTGGGGTTAATGTGTAAATGAGCTCTACTTAATTGGCTTAAAGAAAAGTAAGTGCTTACAAATGAAACAAATCTAAATTTACCTACTTGTGTCTTCTTGAAAGAGAGAAACTAAGGATGTTTGCATTTATTAAACATGTCTTGTGCCACTTTGAGAAAAGAAATTATGCTCTTGGAAAATACATGTTTTAGAGGTTTTTACAGAATATGTTCTTAAGTTTGCTAATCAGAGAATGCCAATATGACAAACAGTTCACAATTGCTTTCTTCTTGTTTCTCACTAGAGAGTGTTTTTTTAAGTGTTAAAAATGACAACACATAATTAAAGCTACCAAAATGATAAGGGAAACATTTCAATATGTAAAGGAAACAGGAAGTCAAGTGAAAGTCGCTCAGTCATGTTCAACTCTTTGAGACTCCATGGACTACACAGTCCATGGAATTCTCCAGGCCAGAATACTGGAGTGGGTAGCCTTTCCCTTCTCCAGGGGATCGTCCTGACCCAGGAATTGAACCCAGGTTTCCTGCGTTGCAGGTGGATTCTTTACCAATTGAGCCATCAGGGAAGCCCATGTAAGCAGGAGATGGCTGCAAAAGAAGGTATGAGGAACAGAATTACATTTTAAGGGAAAAGGAAGTAAATCTGACTTACAGGTGGCTGTTTCTGAATGGACAAATAAAATAAGAGATACAGAGAGTGATAAAAAGTTTTGTGGAAAGTGGACC